ATATATGATATTGATCAATGTGTGATTTGATATATCTATGATATTGATCGGTGATTCAATATTTCTATGTTTTGATATTGATCGATAGGTGATTCAATGTATCTATGATATTTATCGATGTGTGATTCGATATGTCTATGATATTGATCGATGATTCGATATATCCATGTACTGGTGGATGTAGGTCTCCAGCCCTGACCGAACCACGTACCCTGTTTCGTTGAAAACCTTGTTTGTGAACTGTTTGTCGAACCTTCGAAACAAAGTCCTTGCCCCGTTTGCAATCTGTTACGCTTTAGCGCGTTTCCAGCTTGAGAGGAGTGTTTTAAGGCCAGGCAGACATACCTGAGACTGGTTGGCTCGCTGACTGAAGCCGACAACACTAGCGCTTTGTACGTGCGCGTTAGGCGCACGTTGAGCGATAGTTTGCTTGGATGTTTTCACATCAACACAATTAATTTTAAGGCATCAGGGTTTTACGACTTATTCTTGTTGTCAATGCACATCCTTTAAACAGTTTGGCAGTCGCTCGCTCGAAAATTATAGAGATGGCAACGATGTAACATATCCATCTTCGGCACGCAGGCTGTTGCAGTGAAAGAATGTTTTGTCGAACAGCGTTTTCGTTTGCTTTCCTACTTCTTCTTCGAACTGAATGCAATCATGCCTTTTTATCAATGCCAACCTTGACAGCCAGACAATACCATCCTCTGGCAAAGGGGTCGTTACAAGCCAGAATGAGCGACCGTGACGAAGAAGCCCTTTCTCGAGCTCGAAACGATGCCCGAACAGACATTCGAAACCTCTTGACCCAACGTGCCATACAATCCTTTTTATTTCTGTGCACAAGCGTCCGTGATCCGCACAGCGTCAAGTGGATCGAGGAGTTTTTGGATGCACACAACCAACTAGACTTTCATGGAACTGGAGCAGCTTACTTCGAGGCCTTTGGAGGGACCTGGGATGCTCCTTTGTTGGCCATGATGGAGATGCCCAAGGATGTTGTGGTAGTTAGTGCCAAGCGTTCTGGGAAGGGTCATCGGGGGTGGAGCAAGAATAATCCTTATCTAGAAGACCGATATGTGGAGTTCAACATTGATATTGATCCAGTGTCATTGACATCTCGCATTCTTTCCGTTCGGGAACAAATTGCCACTGAATGGGTAAAGGATCTTAATGTTCTAGCTGAAGCCAACGATGATATTTTGGGCTCCTATTTCTTGCTAGCAAAAGAGGAAAGAAGCAAAAGAGAACCAACAGGCACAAAACCTGATTCGTCCAACGCGTCCTGTGCTATCGCGTTTGAACGAACCGCGGTCAACATACTCGAAAACAACATGAACTTTCAAGGCGGCGCAACTGCAAGTTCGCCATTCCGCAAGGGTAATTTTGATCTTCTCTACAATCTCTGTACTCAAGCCAGTATACATAGGTTGTTGAGAGAATATAAAGATGATGTGGCTTCAGGTGGCGAGAAAGAAGCGAGGGCTATTTCATTTACTTGGCTCCGAGAATTTTACGTTTCGCGTGTAGAAGAATTTTTTGATGGAAACCAACGGTATGGTCGAGCCGACGACTTGATTGAACAACTCTTGTTATCTTCTCCATCTGTCGTCTCCACCGATGATGGAAAGGTTGGGTTAGCAGATCCAATGGGGCTGGCGGAAGCAATCATCTCGAAGCGGCGAGAAGTAGTGGATGAATGGAAGGTTGTGATGACAAATGTCCCGACAGATCACGCTGATGGCATTCGAAAGAACTTGTTGAATAAGCAGATGGAATCGTGGGGATCGGGACCCTCGTTGGGACAAGGATTTCAATAGAAATGTTTCGACAAGGAACGAGCGCGTCGCTGCTGCTTTCTGTGCTCACGTTTCCACTTGTGCAGATTGTTGGGAGGGAGAGTGACTGACTCACGTGATCACCCCACTTGTTGGTGGTGAAGATGCTACAGCACAGACTCTGTGTGATGCGCGTAGCAGCAGTGTAACTATTGACGGATGCCTTTTTTTCCGGGTTGCGATGGAAGGATTCGCTAGGCAGTGCTACGAGTAGTCATACTATGCAACTACTCTCAAAATTGTTAGATTCTAAGAAAAAACAAGCATTGCCTTACTGCAACTTTTAAAAGGATGTTATGGATTTTCTTCGCTTTTTCTCGACTTACATCGCATATCGAAGCCTAAAAGTCTTTCTAGCAGCGTAATGCAAATGATCGACTGTGCTTGGCTTCTGACGGACGTGGCCGATAAGAGATTCCGTGAATCGGCTGTAAACGAATCAAGTGATAGGCATCCGCAAGCCATGAGCATCGAAGATTGCCTCCCCATAAAGTCCAGTCGAAATTATCTAGAGAAAGCTCCCTATTTTGTCTCTCGCTGGTGTTTCCACTAGGATTCTTCCACACACACAGAACTATCTCTGCAATATTGGAACGTCCTCTCGGTCTTCTTTCGCCTGCTCGTCATTCAATTTGGCGCTCTCCTCGCTTTTCGGTTCCCCAGTTTTCCCCATGGACTGAAAGAGAAGTAAGGACAGAGTCGAACGTCGTCTGTTTGTCCATCAGATAATAGCCGTTGTTGAACGTCTGCACCCCAACGGCTAACGTATCCAAAGTATCTTATACAGGTATCAAGATTACCAATCCTGATTACCATCTTCCCTCGCTAAGCTTCGCCACATTCTCAACGTTGTTAAGACTAAGCATCGCCATTGCATGCGTTGAGATGGTCGGAGTTTCATCCTGTTTGCATCCTTCACAACACAAAATCACTATAA